TGTGGGCTTGCTTGGAGGCTCTGTGCCATATGGCACCCATTCGTGTACCCAGCAGGGGACTGCTCAGTGATCCCCTGGGATCTCTTTCTGGTGGTCCTCTCTTGACCCTCTTAATGCCTGGACACTGGAATGCTTCTTTCAGACTTCTTTCCCAGTGCCCACAGATTTCTCTGTCCATCAGCCCATCCTAAGTTGGAAAAATGACTCACTATGACTTACTGGCTTTTCCAATGTAGTGCATTCTCTAGATCTTTGTTAAGGAGGTGTGGGGGGAGAGATATGCTCTAATGCTTCTTTTCTGCCATCTTGATTTAGCATTCTTCTGCCCTCTGCCAAAAAAAAAATTATTTACTTTCTAAGTCCTATAGGTCTCTTGTAAGTTTTTTTATATTGGGTGCTTTTAAAATGACTGTACCTTTAAAAAATTTTAAAAGTACTCTATATATGGTAGATTCTTATTTGAACTTCATCATGACTCTGTGAGGCAGGCAGTATGAGTATTATTCTCATTTTATAAATGAGCAGACTGAGGCTCAGAGAGGTTTAAATGGCTTGCTCAGGGTTTTACAGAACTTGTAAATGTCAGGGGCAGATTTTCAGTACCGGATTTTTCTAACTATGCCACACTGCCTGTAAGTGTGGCATTAACAATCTTAAATTGGATTTAAATAAATTTTGAGAAACAATGTTTTAAAATAGATATAAAGTGAATTTCCTCAGCTATAAAACGGGGGTGGGGGTGTGGGGGGAGCCTGCCGGCGGTAGGAAATTTTTCTACACCTTCCAGTTCTAAATCTGTTATCCCCAAGACTTTTTCTTAGTGTATCAGTTCTCAGTAATGCCATTTCCAAAACTCTTGGTGATGGTGTTTGAAAATAGTTTTTGTTCTGTTTAGTAATTTAAATATTCCTACCAAAATCTAGTTTGTTGTTCAGTTATTTTTCAGTCATGTTTGACTCTTGGTGATTCTATTTGAAGTTTTCTTGGCAAAGATACTGGAATGGTTTGCCATTTCCTTTTCCATCTTATTTTACAGAGGAGAAAACCGAAGCAAACAGGGTTAAATGACTTGCTTAGGGTCACATAGCTAGTAAGTATCAGAGATCGGATCTGAACTCAGAAAGGTGATTCTTCCTGACTTCAGGTCCAGTGCTCTATTCACTGTGCCACCTAGCTTTTCCCAGTTTAGAGGGCAGTGATAGCACTTGCATTCCTTTGGTTGGTTGAAGTGCAACTAGTTGGTAAGAATAATTGTTTAAATTATTCTTAGATTCTTCTTTTCTTCCCCTTCCCATTATCTGCATCCCAGGCAAACTTATCCTAGTCTGTCTTATCCTGGTCTCTCTCCATTTTGTGGCATACTAGAACCTGTCCCTTACCACGGGAACTGCCCCGCATCATTCCTTCCACAGAGAATTGTCTCAGTTATCTTTCCAGCTGTTGGCCTCAGATGCATTTTGTAGTGCTTATTTTAGCCTATAGAACTGCTACTTATGATTCTGAGTTCACACTATTTATTTAGCAAACCTTCTTTGTATAAATGTAAAGGTAAAACTTAATCCAACCTCATTCATGTTATTGCAAATTACAAATTACTGGGTTTTACTGTATTGTCTTCATCTAAGTTACCAGAACAGATCTTGAAATCTGCTTTAAAAAATTAAAATTTTATGGTCATTCAGTGAAATAGAGGACTTTCAAGCATTCTTGATGAAAAGACCAGGGTTGAATAGAAAATTTGACTTTCAAATACAAGACTCAAGTGGAACATGAAGAGGTAAACAAAGAAGGAGAAATCATAAGAGACTTATTAAGGCTGAACTGTTCACATTCCTGCATGGAAAGATGATATTTATAACTCATGAGACCTTTGTCAGTATTAGGGTAGTGGGAGGGGAGAAAATTATATGTATGTATAGATAGATAGATAGATAGATAGATAGAGGGCACAGGGTGAGTTGAAGATGAAGGGGTGATATCTGGAGAATAAAATTAAGGGGTGAGAGAGGATTATACTAGGAGAAGGAGAAAGGGAGAGGTAGAATGGGGTACATTATCTCGCACAAAACAGACAAGAAAAGGTTCTTACAGTGGAGGGGAAACAGGGGAAGGTGAGAGGAAATGAGGGAATCCTCTTCTCATAGGATTTGGCTTACGGAGGGAATAACACACACACTCAATTAGGTATTGAAATCTGTCTTATCCTACAGGAAAATAGGGGAGGAAGGGGACAAGAGAGCAGCAGGGGGATGATAGAGAGGAGGGCAGATTGGGAAAGAGGGTAATCAGAAGTAAATACTTATGAGGAGGGACAGGGTCAAAAGAAAGAATAGAATAAATGGGGGGGAGCAGGATAGGATTAAGGGAAATAAGAATTAGTTTTTCACAACATGTCTACTATGGAAGTGTTTTGCATAACTGCACATGTATGGCCTGTATTGAGTTGCTTGCCTTTTCAATGAGGATGGGTGGGGTGGGAGGAAGGGAGAAAATTTGGAACCCAAAGTTTTAAAAACACATGTTTAAAAAAAAATGTTTCCACATACAACTGGGAAATAAGAAATACAGGAAATGAGGTACAGAAATCTATCCTGCCCTACAGGAAAATAGAAGGGGAAGAGGATAAGAGAAGAGGGGGGAGAGATAGAAGGGAGGGCAGACTAGGGGAAGGGGTATTCAGAATGCATGCCATCTTGGGGTGGGGGAAGGGCAAGATAGGGTGAAAATTTGGAATTCAAAATCTTGTAGAAGTAAATGTTGAAAACTAAAAATAAATTTATATTAAAAAAAAAGATAAGAAAACTTCAAATGGGGTCATGAAGAGTTAGACATGACTGAAAAACAACTGAACAAAGAAAAAATTTCTAACAGAGCTAATCCAAAGTAGAATGGTCTACTTTGGGAAGCTGTGGGTTTCCCTTTTGTTGGAGGTCTTCAAGCAAAGGATCAGTAAGCACCTGCTAAATATGTTGGAGAACTTATTTTTGTCCATGTAGAGGGTGCCCCAAAAGTATTTGTGCAGTTTTAAGCAATTGAAGTCTAGTTGCACTGGCTGACCATTGAGGTCACTACTAACTCTGAAGTTCTGTGATTTCCCCCCCACATATCTTTATATCCCAAATAACTAGCACAGTCAATTGCACATATTAATGTTTTAATGAATATTTGTTGAATCTGACTCTTTTTAAATAAGATAAGACCTCAGTTTAATACAGATACGACTGAGTCATCCTCGAAAATGTCTTTGGTTCTCACTGGGTGTGTAGTGTAAGGCCTTCAAGAAAGACCTTTAAAATCTTTAGAATAGTTGACTACTGCAAGTCTTGGCAAAGTGACATAGAATAATGGGAAGAGGACTAGATTGAGAATCACATTGTGTGATCTCATCCAAGTCATTTTATTCTCTTTGTTTATACATCTCTCAATTAGGATTAATCATAGCTTGCTCCTTATGATGTCTTAAGGATAATAGGCAAGAAAGAATATAGATATTTTTAGGTAACTGGAAGAAAGTTACCTTACAAATTTTCAGTGGAAGTACTATATCTATCTCCTCCTTTCATATATAATGTTGTCTTTGAAGTCAGCCACAGGTGTAAGTTTTCTAAGAACTGTGTCTTTTTAAAAATTAAATGCTTTTTAAAAAAATCTAGCATTAAACATCAGTACAAATGGCCCCATTTAACAAGTATTTATATTTAAATTGATGCAGTTCACTGCATAAGACATAGTAACTTCTTAGTCTTCTTTATCAAGATCCTTTGTAATCTTTCTGGAGAGCAATCTGGCTGTGAGTTGTAAAAGTTCCAAAAATAATCAAACCCTTTGACCCAGAAATTACATTCTTGAAAATATTATTCTTAAAACAATAATCAAAGGACTACCTGTACAAAGGTTTTCTTAGTGACATTATATGCCATTTTTTTATTGTACTATAAGAAATGATGAGCAGGTAGACTTCAGAAAAACTTGGAAAGACTTATATAAACTGATGCAGAATGAAATGAAAAGAATCAGGAAAACATTGTACACGATAACAGCCACATTGTGGGATGACTGATAGACTTAGCTCTTCTCAGCAATGCAAGCATCTAACATCTCCAAAAGACTCACGATGGAAAATGCTATCCATATCCAGAGAAAGAACTATGGAGTCTGAATACAGATGGAAGCACACTATTTGCTCTCCTTTTCTTTTGTTGTTTTATTTTTTTTCTTCTTTCTCATGGTTCCTTCCCTTAGCTATAATTCTTCTTTGCATCATAACTAATGTAAAAATATGTTTAATATGAATGTATGAGTAGAGCCAATATCAGATTGCATGCCATCTTGGGGAGGGGGAGAAAATTTAAAACTCAAAATCTTGTGGGAGTGAATGTTGAAAACTAAAAATAAGTTAATTATTTAAAAAAAATTAAAATTTTAGATATTTACCTTAAGAACTCAAAATTGTCTATTCTGAGTTTACTTTGTGTAGTTGGCTTTATTTAACAAGCCTGGATGAGATTATTAGTGACTCTGTTAACAAATGTCTTTTTTTTCCCTAATTGTTTTTAGCTCTTTGTGGATAATCTGGGTCTGTCTTATTGTACCAGCGGGCTTTGGGGGGGTGGGGGGGGAAGGGAAGGTATCATGTATTATTTCTATCTGTTATTTTTGGAGATGTTAATTTTCTTTAAATGAGTAACACCTAGTTGAATGAACATTCTGTGTTCAAGTCTCTTTCACATAACTGATTTATTAATCTTGGTTTAGATAAGCAAAAAAATTATCAATTAAATAGAGTACCACTTCCATCAGGAGGCCTTTCCTGGTGCTAGTGCATTCTCATGCAAGGTTACCTTGTGTCTGCCTTATTGTATCTTGTATATGCCTATATATGTACGTGTGTCTCCCTCATTAGATTGTAAGCTTCTTGAGGGCAAAGACTAGTAAGCACTGAAATTCTTCTTTCTTGATTGCTTGATGTCTTTTTCAGACTTGAATTTTTTTCTTCCCAGTGGATGTTCTGACTTACGTTGCCTGGAAGCTAAGTGGCTTTAACACATACTGCATCATTGGGAGTGGCTGCGATCTGGACACTACTCGTGTTCGTCTCCTAATTGGGGAGAGGATGGGTATCCATGGCAGTAGTTGCCATGGGTGGGTCCTTGGAGAGCATGGAGACAGTTCTGGTAAGTCTAAAGCACTGTTCCTTCAGGCTTTCTGAAATTTATTTTGTGATATCAGATATCATCATAAATAAGCCATATCAGTGATTCTCTGAAGACATTTTTAAACTTTGAGAAAATTAAGGCTTGGATACATTGGGTACACCAGGGGTATGGCTAAGAATGTATGTTTTTGTGTTTTTTCTTAAACCACTGGTTGAAGTAATACTATATGGTTTATATTTAACTTGAACAGTGTGGTTCCTAAAGGTCAGCAATTCAATTAAGGCAAAGCCAAGGGATCAAATTATGATCAGAGACATACATAGAGAATTAACAGGAAGGGAGATCAGTGATAACTCTACAAATGCTAAGAACCTACTGGATACAAGCCCTAATCAGGCATAGGGTGGGGGTGTCATATAAATTAAAACTCCAGAATAAAGGAAAGTGTGTTAATAACCTCTTACCACATTGACAGTCAACTATGTTTTCCTAGTCTAGTCTCTTCAACTAGAGCTCCAGAAAAATGTTCCTGGGCAAAAGAGCCCATAGGATGTGGCCTGACTTCTTAGTCATGGCAATAGAAAAGTATGTGAAGGCAAAAGAGGATGCAAATAATTTATGGTTATGACTTGAAAATAATCAGATCTTGTTGTTAGCAACTCAGTTTATACCTTGGAACTGTATGATGTTTTTCAGTCCTTCAGGTTTTCACATTAGGGATAAAATACCTAGGTGGCTTTTAGCAGTCCTAGAGTTATTTTTCTCCTTTGACTACAGAGGGGTTCCTGGAAGGACGAGATAGTACTACTAGTAGGAAAAAGGACTCTTAAGACAATTATTACAGTATTTGGGAAGAAGTAACTAATTGGATGCTAGAGAATAAGTATATTCTTATATACTTTTATTTTAGTGCCTGTATGGACTGAGGTGAATATTGCTGGTGCTTCTCTGAAGAATTTTAACCTGGACATAGGAACCAGTAAAGACATGGAACAGTGGGGATATCTGCATAAAAAGGTGGTTACCAGGTCAGTTGGCTTTAATACTTGGCAGTTGGCTTTAAAAATGAATTCTGCTTCCAACGACACATACATGTATAGTTTTTCTGTCTTCAAAATTCATAAACTAGAGGCAAGATCATTTTCTTGTTAAGTTGGGCATTAAAGTTATTAGTGAAATAAAGAAAAGGAATGTAACCAAAACTGGCAAGGAATTTCTAGGATGAAATTTTGGGTGATGATTTCATTTTGGTGACATCAAATCATTTGTTACTGTGGACAAGGGTTAGACTGACTTGAGGTGTAGGGCAGTGAGAGAGGTCTAGGTGCAAGGATACAAAGTCTGATCACACATCTGGTAGCTTAAGGCAAGCTGTAATGACTGTTCTTTGATCCCTTCCATAACCCTTGCTTGGCAGGAGATGCAGTAGCAGGCTAGGATTGGTTATTAGATATTGAGGACTTAATAGTAAGTTTGGCATGAAAAAGAGAGGGAGAAAAGAGTGGAAAAGAATGATAACAAGAACAATTACAGCCACTGCTTTGAGGTAACAGGAAATTGACCTCCAGAGGGCAGAGAGTATCTGCACAGTGCACTCTTAGGGATTGATGTGCATGTGTGGAAAGGGGGCCTCTCCTCATGTTATGAGAAGAAATCTACGAGGGGACTTGAGGATGGGATAAAGGAGACGATATCTTCATACATCACAGAGAATGAAGGGCTCTATAGGAAAGTTGTTTGTCCTTTGTTCTCGAAGAGGACCAATGACATCATAAGGATGATGTCTTGACTTGTGAGTGACTTGGATTTAAGTGAGGCAGAGCTGTACAAAATCATCAGCCTCGTTCCTCCAGAGTCATCGGAATCCAGTGGCAAGACGTAAGTTAAGATGACTGGTGATGACCCAGATAGAAAAGAGTTATCTGCCTTTTTTCTACTTCTTTTGGAGGGCTTCTCTTTTGACTCTGCTTAGACACTTAGGTTTTTGTTTTTGTTTTTGCTTCTTCCTCAGTTGCTACTGTTAAGGGTTAGCTAGCATACTGACACCTACTAGTCATGGCTGCAGCTGATGTGGAAGCAACTGGGAAAGTCCTGGCCTTGATATTCAAGTGTTACGGTCTCTCCTAGTTTTAGTAGTCATGGTGGTTTTGATCCATGTTCCTGGTCAGTTGCTCTGTTAAATTTGAGTATAATAATAGCTGCTTTTCTAACCTGACTGCATAGAAGCTTGATTTTTAAAAAAATTTCTCCCAATTATAGTGCTTCTGATGTGATCAGACTGAAGGGCTATACCTCCTGGGCTGTTGGCTTGTCTGTGGCAGACCTGACAGGCACTATTATGAAGAATCTTAAGAAAGTTTGTTCGGTTTCTACCATGATTAAGGTAAAACATTATACTTGATTCTTTTAATGAACCTTTACTGCACATTCAGTGTATGTCTCCATTTGGGCAAATTCAGAATGTTGGGAGTAAATACGGCTAATCTTTTGGGATCAGTGTCACCAGGCAAATACCATGCTGTCCCCCCAAAACAATAGTTGGTGTTGTCAGAGACAGATTTTTGTTTGGATGGTCCTTTGAACTGTAGATCCTGAGAAAGAGGGCTGGATGGGACAGCAGTGATCATCTAGCATAAACCCAGCATTCTACAGATATGGAAATTAATCCCCAAAGAAGAGAAGTGACTGGTTTAAGTGATAGAGCCAGGTCTCCTGTATTCTCTATGTGATTCCATATCACCAAATGAGCAGAGTCTATCACCCTAAAACTCATTTACCATGGGAAACACTACAGATAATGTAATGACTGTGATAAAGGGATTGCCATTCAATTCAGCAAACATTTATTAAGCACCTAGTACATGCAAGGCACTGTCCTGGAGATACAGGGATAGATATGAAAGTCTGTCATCTAGGAGCTTACATTCTATTGTGGGAGGCTGGGGAACAATAAAATAAATACAAGGTAATTTAGGAAGAGAAAGCCCCAACAGCAGTAGGGATCAGGAAAGACTTCAGTTCTCAAGGGGGTCAGCTCAAAGAAGAAATAAAAGGGGATGGAATCAAGAGCACAAGTAAGAGAGATTATTTTTAGCAAAGTGAAAGCCCACCTATTCATTAAAGATTGGCACAAAAAGGGAGAGAATAGAGTATGATAAAGAGGGGTTTTGAGTTTTGCAATGTGAGAAGAGAGGGAACTCGTGACAGAGGGCCTCAATTTTCTCTGTAAAGTAAAAGTGAGATCCTCTGTTGAGGATAAAGAAGTCATGTAAGAGTTTATAGGAGAGAGGAGACAATTTGGAATTGCATTGTGGAATATAGATGATAGATTAACAAAAGAATAAAAGGATTGCAGTGTAGCTATGAGGGGTCTCATTTGTGAAGTCATAAATTTGTAGTGAACACAGTAAGCATGATCTTGTGACTTTCTCTAAGAATATTTAGCAGCACATGAGTAGAAAAGGATGGGCAAGATGGGAGGTAACCCAGGGGTAGTTTAGCAAGGCATGACTAGCAGTTGGAAAAGGGGCAAGATATTCAAGGGTTGAATGGTTAGCCATAAGGTCAAGACTATGAAGGGAAGGAAGGAAAGTAGAGCAGGAATGATGTAATGGAAAAAAAGGAGGTGTAGAGGGAGCAGATGAAGAATAGACTTAGGGAAGAGACGTTGAAGTGTAGGAGATTGTGCTTAGAAAGAGAAGGTGCTGTAGTTTGGTCAGCATTCTCCCTCTTTTTTTTTTTTTAGGATAGGCAGTGGGGTTAAGTGACTTGCCCAGGGTCACACAGCTAGTAAGTGTTATGTGTCTGAGGCCGGATTTGAACTCAGGACCTCCTGAATCCAGGGCCGGTGCTCTATCCACTGAGCCACCTAGCTGCCCCCTCCCTCTTTTTTTAAAGTCAGAATGCTGCTAATTATTGCTGACCTGTTAAAGGTCAGCAATAACCTTTAAAAAATTTAATATTATCTTTTGCTTTACATTTCCAGATATATTCCTCACCCCTTCTCCATCCAGAGAGCCATTTCTTATTACAATGAATAAAAAAAGAAAGAGGAAAGAAAGTTCAAAACAAACCAGTGTATGAAGTGATTTTGTGCCATTTGATGCACCCATAGTCCTCTTCTACAAGAAGGGAGAGGGGAATGGTCTATCTTTTCAGGGTTAGGCTTGTTCATTATAATTATAAGGACATAGAGGGTTTTTTCTTCAGAAGACCCTTACATTGTTATCCTTGTAGATTATTGGGTTTTTTCTTTTGGTTCTGCTTACTTCGTTTTGCATCAATTCATTTGTCTTCTGCTTCTTTGTTTACATTAATCATTAACACAATAATATTTTTATTACATTCATGTATCACAATTTATTTATTTTGACATTTTACCTGTTTATTAGATAGCTCCTTTTGATGTAAAAATCCATAGCTTTGAAATAGTAAAAGTATTACACTTGAGGATATATGAAGCATAAATATCTTAGTCAGTAGTCCACCTGAGTGGGATTGAGACCACCTGCCCAAATAAAAATTCAGAGGTTTCTCTCAGTAGAAACAGAAGTTTTATTCTAGCAAGTCTTGAGCGAGAATTGGGCATCACCTACCCAGGGTGGACTGGAGTAGGGAGGCAGGATACAAGCAGCAAGCAAGCAGTTATATACTCTTAGACAAACAATTCTAAGACACCCCCCCCACACACACACACCCTTTTACCTCAATCTCTTTATCCTCTTTGGTTGAGGTAAGAGACCTTACATTCTACCCAGAAACTAAGAGATACATTTTACCCAAAACAAGCTTGGGAGCTAGAAGATTGCCTAATTTGGCAAAGATAAGGCTAGGGTGGTGGTTACAAAACAAGGCAGGGGGTGGGTAACAGGTGTATGACCCGATCACATGATTTACAGGAAAATGAAACTTGGGCCCAGCTAATGCTTTAAGCCTTAACTAAATTTTGGGGCATAGCTTCCATTTCATGTGAAAAACTTTCACTTGTCCCCCACACACCTAATTTTGGAAGGCTTGTTTCTTGCCTTCCTAAAATAAGTCCTTATAATAGTTATGAGAAATTCAGATTTTGTTTGCCTCAATCAGATGAAATGCTCTTCAAATAAAAAAATAATAAATTATGGAAACCTAACCCTTGTCTAAGAATGTCAGTCTAGACTAAGGTTTAGATAGATAAAGAATCCAATTAAGAAAAATACAAAAATATCCATACTTGTCATGTACCAAATTCTTAGAAGTATTTTCAGCTAAACAACTCCATATAATAAACTTTATTAATATTTTGTGAAAAGTGATAAATACGTGATAATAGTGTTTCTTTAAAAACTTCAGTCACCAAGTCATTTACAGTAGGTACTTCTCCATCATTATTTTAATTCTAAATTAAAAGGTTTTAATTTACTTTAAGGTGGTTCTTGGTCTATTTTATTCTTCCTGACAGATTCTAGTCTTTCAGATGCTCTTAAAATGAAGATTCACTCCTCATTCTTGAATTCTGCTTTTCTCCTTGAATTACTGCATGTTTTCTCCTGTCTCTCCCTTTCTCTTAAAAACTACACTCTCTACTTCTGATCCCGTCCAGACTATACTCTCACGTTCTTGAGCAGCGCCAGGCCCCAAGAGCAGGGAGAGGGCCAATGCACTGGGGAGCGGTAAGGCTGACATTGTCTCTGGCCGGAGACACAGCGGTGAATGGGGCGAGCAGGGAGGAGGTAGGAAAGGAGGGAGGGCCACCACAATTTATTTAGCCCTTCCCCAGTTAATGGGTATTTATTTTGTTTCAGTTCTTTGCTGTTATAAAAACTGCTGCTATAAATATTTTTGGTGTATACAGGACCTTTCCTTCCATCTCTGACTTGCTTGAAGTATACAGTATTGGATTCTTCTTTAAAAAATTCTTTTTTATTATGAATTTGACAAACATCAGTAAATAAAAACATGTCCTTATTCAAAGAAGTACAAAACTAGAGGATTGTGTATGACACTGTGAAACTCTTATTATGTAGATGATTTAAACTCAGCAGATCTGAAACAGATTCCCTGTTTTTCCCCCCTCAAACTCATCTTTCTTCCCAACTACACTGTTGCTGTCAAAAGCACCACCATCCTTATCATCCTTATTAAACATACAGGCTTATAACCCAGGTGCCGTCTTTGACTCCTCTATCTCTTACTTCCCGTATCCAACTTGTCAAAATCTGTCAATTCCACCTTCACATCTCTCATACCTACCTCCCTTCTCTCACACTGCCATTACTCTTGTGCAGGTTTTCATTACCTCACACTTGATCTATTGCAATAGCCTTCTGGCTTCTGGTCTCCCTGACTTGTCTCTTCCCATTCAGTTCCAGCCTTCACATAGCTACCAAAATGATCTTCCTACTAAACATGCAGATCTGACTGTAACCTTTCTATTCAGTAAAATCCAGTTGCTCCCTGTTACATCTGGGATCAAATATAAAATCTTTTTTTTTTCAACATTTATTAAATTTTTTTCTTTTAGTTTAGTATTTTTTCCCCAGGTACACGTAAAAACAATTTTTAACATTCGCCTTTAAAACTTTGAGTTCCAAGTTCTCTCTCTTCCTCCCTCCGCATCTCCTACCCCCATTGAGAAGGGAAGAATTCAGTATAGGTTATACATGTATAGTCATGCAAAACATTTCCACAATAGTCATATTTTGAAAAAAAAAAGACAAAAAAACTCAAGAAAAATAAAGTTTAAAAAGTATTCTTCAATCTGCATTCAGATACCATCATTCTTTCTCTGGGTATGGATAGCATTTTTCGTCCTAAGTCCTTCAGAGTTGTTTTGGATTGTTGTATTGCTGAGAATAGCTAAGTCATTCACAGCTGATCATCTTACAATATTGCTGTTACTTTGTACATAGCACATTTCACTTTGCATCAGCCCATGAAAGTATTTCCAGGTTTTTCTGAGAGAATCCTGCTCATCATTTTTTATAGTACAATAGTATTCCATCATAATCACATACCACAACTTTTCGGCCATTCCACAATTGATGGGCATTCCCTCAATTTTTAATTCTCTGCCCCCAGAAAAGAGCCAGTATAAATATTTTTGTACGTATAGGTCCTTTTCCTTTTTTTTATATATATGATTTTGGGATACAGACTTAGTAGTGCTGGATCAAAGGGTATGCATGGTTTTATAGCCCTTTGGGCATAGTTCCAAATTGCTCTACAGAATGGTTGCATCAATTCACCACTCCACCAACAGTGCATCAGTGTCTTCTTTTTCCCACATCTTTCCAACATGTCATTTACCTTGTTTATCCTATTAGCCAATCTAATAGGTATGAATTAGTACCTCAGAATTGTTTTAATGTGACTTTCCTTGGTCAATAGTGAGTTAGAGTATTTTTTCATATGGCTGTAGATAGCTTTGATTACTTAATCTGAAAACTGATCATATCTTTTGATCATTTATCAATGGGGGAATAGCTCTTATTTTTATAAATGTGACTCAGTTCTCTATGTGTTTGAGAATTGAGACCTTTATCAGAGAAACTTGCTTCAGAATTTTTTTCACAGTTGCTATTGCTAACTGTATTTCCCTCCATCCTTTTCCCCTCACCGTGTTTATTCTGTTCTCTCTCTCCTTTTACACTGTCTCTCCTCAAAAATGTTTTGCTTCTGACTATCCCCTTCCCTAATCTGCCCTCCTATCACCCCTCCCTCTCTTATCCCCTTTCCCTCCTCCTTTACATATGGTACAATAGATTTCTATATCCAATTGAGTATATATGTTATTCCCTCTTTGAGACAGTTCTTATGAGAGTAAGGTTCGCTTATTCCCTGTCACCTCCCCACTCTTCTCCTCCACTGTAAAAGCTTTTCCTTATCTCTTTTATGTGAGATAATTTACCCCATTCTACCTCTCCCTTTCTCTTTCCCCCCAGTACATTCCTCTCTTACCCCTTATTTTTTTTAGATATCATCCCGTCTTATTCAACTCACACCTGTGCCCTCTGTCTATATATACTCCTTCTAACTACCCTACTAATGAGAAGGATTTTAAGAGTTATAAATATCATCTTTCTGTGTGGGAATGTAAACAGTTTAACCTTATTAAGTCCCTTATGATTTCCCTTTCCTGTTTACCTTTTCGTGCTTTCCTTGAGTATATCTGAAAGTCAGATTTTTTTATTCAGCTCTTGTCTTTTCTCAAGAATACATTAAATTCCTCTGTCTTATTGAATGTCAATTTTTTCCTCTTATGGATTAGACTGTTTTGCTGGGTAGGTAATTCTTGGTTGTAATCCCAGCCCCTTTTGCCCTTCAGAATATCATATTCCAGGCCCTCTGATCCTTTAATGTAGAAGCTGCTAAATCTTGTGTTATCCTGACTGTGGCTTCATGATATTTGAATTGTTTCTTTCTGGGTGCTTGCAATATTTTCTCTTTGACCTAGGAGCTCTGGAGTTTGGCTATAATATTTCTGGCAGTTTCTGTTTTAGGATCTCTTTCAGGAGGTGATCGGTGGATTCTTCCAATTTCTATTTTATCCTCTGGTTCAAGAATATCAGGGTGGTTTTCTGTGATAATTTCTTTCTTTCTTTTTTTTTTTTTAAAGGTTGACCAACCATTTTATTTTCCTCTGATCAGTTCAGGCATGTTGATGGACAGATGGCTCTTTACATAAGCTTTGGTCTGGAGGCAGCACCAGAGGTCTGAAGTGGGGTGGATGTCTGATCTTTCGTGCCTCACGGGACTGATTCCTCACTACCTTGCTGTGGATCGTGCAGCTCACACAGTAATGCAGTTTCACATGCAGTTTGGGCAGCACATAGGAGTTGAAGACACAGGCCTTGGAGATGTCCCTGATGGCTGCGGCTTCCACGATGTTGTGGATGACGAACTTCTTGAGGGCCTTGTCCTTGGGCATGTAGCGGGTGCAGTTGGTGCAGTGGATGGGCTGCATGTGGCTGTAGCCCTTCTTGGCGCGCCTGTTGTTCCTCCCCTTCTTGGTCATTTTGAAAGCCAGGAACTGAAAAAGTGATAATTTCTTGAAAGATAATGTTTAGGTTCTTTTTTTGATCATGGCTTTCAGTTAAATCTTTTTTTTTTTTGGGTGAGGCAGTTGGGGTTAAGTGACTTGCCTAGGTTCACACAGCTAGTTACTCCAGTCATTTTTAAATTCTTTCTCCTGGATCTATTTTCCCGGTCAATTGTTTTTCCATTGAGATATTTCACATTGTCTTCTAGTTTTCATTCCTTTGGTTTTTTTTAGTTTATTTTTAGTTTTCAACATTCACTTCCACAAGATTTTGAGTTCCAAATTTTCTCCCCATCTCGGCCCCCCCCCAAAATGGCATGCATTCTGAATACCCCTAATCTGCCCTCCCTTCTGTCTCTCCCCTCCTCTTATCCCCTTCCCCTTCAATTTTCCTGTAGGGCAGGATAGATTACTATACCTCATTTCCTGTATTTCTTATTTCCCAATTGCATATGAAAACAATTTTTTAACATGTGTTTTAAAAAATTTTTGGTTTCAAATTTTCTCCATTCCTCCCTCTCCACCCACCTTTATTGAAAAGGCAGGCAACTCGATACAAGTTATACATGGGTAGTCCATGCAAAACACTTCCATAGTAGTCATGTTGTGAAAAACTAACTATATTTCCCTTAATCCTATCCCTCCCCCTATTTATTCTGTTCTCTCTTTTGACCCTGTCTCTCCTCAGAAGTGTTTGCTTCTGATTACTCCCTCCCCCAATTTGCCCTCCCCTCTATCATCCCCCTGCTTTCTTGTCTGCTTCCCCCTATTTTCAGTAGGGTAAGATAGATTTCCATATCCAATTGAGTGTGTATGTTATTCCCTCCTTAAGCCAAATCCTATGAAAATAAGATTCACTCATTCTCTCACCTTCCCGCATTTCCCCTCCACTGTAAAAATCTTTTCTTGTCTGTTTTATGTGAGATAATTTACCCCGTTCTACTTCTCTCCTTTTCTCCTTCTTCTAGTATAATCCTCTCTCCCCCCTTAATTTTATTGTGCAGATATCACCCCTTCATCTTCAACTCACCCTGTGCCCTCTATCTATCTATCTGCATATAAATACATATAATTTTTTTCCTCCAACTACCCTAATACTGACAAAGGTCTCATGAGTTATAAATATCATCTTTTCATGCAGGAATGTAAACAGTTCAGCCTTAATAAGTGTCTTATGATTTGTCTTTCCTGTTTACCTCTTCATGTTCCGCTTGAGTCTTGTATTTGAAAGTCAGATTTTCTATTCAGCTCTGGTCTTTTCATCAAGAATGCTTGAAAGTCTTCTATTTCACTGAATATTCATATTTTTCCCCTGAAGGATTATGCTCAGTTTTGCTGGGTAGGTGATTCTTGGTTGTAATCCTATCTTCTTTGCCCTCTGGAATATTACATTCCTCTGGTCCCTTAATGTAGAAGCTGTTAAATCTTGTGTTATCCACAGTATTTGAATTGTTTCTTTCTGGCTGCTTGCAGTATTTTCTCCTTGGCTGGGAACTCTAGAATTTGACTACAATATTCCTAGGAGTTTTCCTTTGGGGATCTCTTTCAGGAGGTGATTGGTGGATTCTTTCAATTTCTATTTTGCCCTCTGGTTCTAAAATGTCAGGGCAGTTTTCCTTGATAATTTCTTGAAAGATGATGTCTAGGCTCTTTTTTTGATCATGGCTTTCAGACAGTCCAATAGTTTTAAAATTATCTCTCCTGGATCTGTTTTCCAAGTCATTTGTTTTTCCATTGAGATATTTCACATTGTCTTCTATTGTTTCTTTCTTTTGAATTTGTTTTACAGTGTCTCATAAAGTCTCATAAAATAAAAAACACCACAGCTGATGTTGCCATCATGTACACTCCAGGCCAGCATCACAGACATCTCCTTCCAATGACCTAAGTTGTCCTGGGCTGGAAGAATGTCTTACCCTGATCTTTTGTTGGCGCTGTCACTCCAGAATTTGTTTTGAGGTGTTTTTTAAAAGTGTTTGGAGGGGAATGTTGGGAAAATTCAGCTGTAGTGCTTTCTCTACTCCACCACCTTGGTTCTGTGCCCCTTTCCCCAGTAGCTTTTTCAACTAATTAAATTTTTAAAAATAACTGATTTTCCAAATTTCTTTTGTTTTTAATTTTAAAAAATTATTTCTTTCATCATTTTTTAAATTTGCATGTCCAGTGTATCTGATCTTTCTTTCCTGTGTGTCCTAAGAACTGCTTTGCCTTATTCTCTAAAATTTGGGTGTTGATTTTTTTAAATTAAATTACCCATTTTTTGAATAATTTCTTTTATCTACCAGTCTTAATATTAAGATTAATTTCTTTTTTAAATGGAATCTTTCATTCAAATGCTCATAATCACATAATGTGTTATGATTAGTAAAGAATAGGTTTGAATACATTTTCTTTTGCTCTGTGATTGGTCCGTTTTTTGTTCTGGCGCCATGCTCAGCTGAATAATATGTATTTTCTTTTGTCTTCTCAGTAATTGCCATTTATCATAGGCATTTATCATATCTAACTTTACTAAAATGCCACCCAGGTCCTTAACTTTTATTCTTTTATCTTTATTGTTAGGTTTGTCTAGTTGTAAAAGGGCATGTTGGGCCAATAATTATAGTTTTGCTATTTTTCCACTAATTAGGTTAATTTTTCCTCTGAGTACTTCAGCACTATACTTTTTGGGGGGATATGTGTGTAAGTATTGATACTGTTTTATTTTCTGTGGTGCTTTCAAGCGTATAACATTTCCTTGCTTAGTCTTTTTTTTTTAATTTTTAGTTTTGAATTTTCTCTCTTCCTTTACCCCTCTCCCCGTTTTGAGAAGGCAAAAAATATGATACCCATCACATATATGAAGTAATGTAAAATATATTTCCACATTAGCTTTGTTGCAAAAAGACCCCAAAAACCAAGAAAAAATCAAGAAAATGATAGAAAAAATGTTTCAGTCTGTACTCAAGAGTTCATCAGTTTTCTATGGAGGTGGAGAGCATTTTTCACCAAGAGTTTTTTGGAACTGGCAGGGATCATTATATTAATTAGAGTAGCTAATCCTTTCACAGTTGATCATTATAATAGTGTTCTTACTGTGTACAGTGGTCTCTTGGTTCTGCTGACTTCACTTTGCATCAGGTGATATGTCTTCCCAGGTTTTTCTGAAACCATTCCACCTGCATTATTTTTTATAGTATATTATTCCATCATAATTATAACTTGTTCAGATATTCCCCATTCAGTGGGGCATCCCCTCAATTTCCAATTCTTTCCCACCACAAAAGAGGTGCTAAATTTTTGTACATATGGGAACTTTCTCTTTCATCCCTTTGGGGGCACAGACCTATAGTCTTGCTGGGTAAAGAGGTGTGCACAGCTTGATAGCACTGCTTATGACTCCTTTAACTATTATTTATTTTTACTGTTGCCTTGAGATGCTATTTGTTCCCCCTGCTTTTAATTTGCTTGAAACATAATAAGTTTTGTGCTAGTCTCTCAGTTTAACTCATTGAAGTTTTATGTATCTATATATCAAGGGTGTTACTTGTAAGGGATAGAGAGATGAAATGTGATTTCACTGGTTGAAGGCACTCCGGATAAAGAAACTCCCTTTATCAGTTCAGATTGGTACCTTCTCTACAACCTGTCTTTCTTTCTGAGTTGTTTGGAGTGCTGAGATAGGATGACTTGTCCAGGGTCATGTAACTTGGTTTTCTGTTCTGAGGTCCATTCTCTAACCAGTGTGCTGTGTTGCCTCTCTTGAGACCTCCATGTGCTGTAATACCTTTTTTCCCTTTGCCCCCACTTCCTCTCTTTGCAAAGAAGGTGGTGGAGAAAAATAAAAGGATGTTAGCAATGTATAATTAGAGTGGTCTCCTATATTCTTCTGCCATTCCTCTTTTCACAAAACCCTGACTGATCTTTGGTTTTTGTACTTTTTTTCTCTTTTTAATCATGACATATCTTCCAAAGTTGAAGTTTGTTTTGCTTGTAATTTCCCTGTATTTTTTCTGCCTTCTTAAACCAGTTTCCCTTTTTCTTTTTGAATCCTTGCTGATATTAATGTATTTTGACACCAACATTGGTGCATGCGTGTGCATGTTTATGTTTGTGTGATAAGTCTTCCTTTGTGTGGCTCATGAGTGAATCCATTTCCACTTTTTCCTCCATGTTTTTATAGTCTGGATTTGTACCACAGCTGTTTGCATGTTTTTTTTGAAATTTAATGGCTGTGTGACTCTGGGCAAGTCACTTAACCCCGATTGCCTCACAGAAAAAAAAAAGCTCCAGAAAGGGGTCACAAGGAGTTGGACACAATTCAAACAAGTTTGTATCTCCAGCATTAAGTTCCGTGATTAGCACATGATGGAGAATGCTGAACCTGAGTTCAAATCACATCTCAGACTAGCTGTGTGACCTAGGGCCAGTCATGTAACCTGTCTGCATTAGTTTCCTCATTTGTGAAATGGGTACCTACTTACAAGTTATTTGTGAGAAATGAGATTATTTGTAAAGCACATTGCAAACCGTAGTGTTATATAAATGCTTATTATGTCATTGTTTAGCTTCTTTCAGCTATGATCTGATTTTCCTCCTTTTCTCATTCTCCTTTCATTTCAGATCCAAATGGCTGATTCTTATACTTTTCTCCCTCATTTTAATTTTCCTTTTATAATTTGCCCTCTGTAGTTGAAATTGGTTTTATTATTATTTAAATAATTTATTTACAATTGTTAACTCTATCCTCCTTAAATCTCATTTCTGCCTGTCCTTATTTTCCTGTTGCATCTAATATATTTTGTACATCAAACTTTGTGTTCAGACCTTCTTTAATTGGTTCAGATATGAAGTTCATAAGATGGTCTATCCTTTTATCCTAACCTTCCATGTTTATATACTTTTTTGGGGGGGGTAGGCAGTGGGGTTAAGTGACTTGCCTAGGGTCACACAGCTAGTGTTATGTGTTTGAGGCTGGATTTGAACTCGAGTCCTCCTGAATTCAGGGCCGGTACTCTATCTACCATGCCACCTAGCTGCCCCATGCTTATATAC